CATAATTAATTTCAATATAATTTCTTATTACTATTTAAACTATTTCATGATATCATCATTTTAATTTTCATATTAATTCATTAAAATCATATTTTTCATTCATAATTCAATATTTTATCATTAAACACTCTACAAATGAATTATTTTATCATTTCTAATTATTATATCATATTTTAATTAACAGTATTTGAAATGGATAATGAAATAGAAAATAAATCTTTTTAATACTAAACTACTTCTTAGTGATTTTACATTTCCACTAATAAATTTTCATGACTTATTAATTCGAGGTAGTTTTAGTAAAGTTAGACTTATTTTTATTTCTTAAAAATAGTTGTAAGTCATAGATTAAATGTATTAATTTCTTATTTTATTTCTTTACAAAACTGGGGGTAAATAACTGTTCAAAAGATGATATGTTTTATATAATTCAAGAGAAATTCCAAGAGTTGAAGAAAAATAGTTCAGATCACTTGCTTGGTCAAACACATTTATACTTTATAAATGTTAACCAAAATGGAAGTGTGTTTGATGATTTTACATTTAATGTGTCTATTGAACCAAAGAAGTATGTAGTTGATTAAAACATTTCTTGTTTACAATTAGAATAGAATAAACTGATTTTATTAGTTAATAAATACACATGAAAGAGATTTCAAGGATTAATTGAATAAGATAAACCACAGACTATCAATGTTTTAGATTAACAGAGAGTTATAAGGATATTTATCAAAGAATTTTATTAATTTAGAGAATATTAGATTCAATACATTAATATCATCTAAATGATTTTGTAGTAACAAGAATTACTTTCTTTAAAATAAAATAAATGTTAAATTGAAAAAAATTTCTTTTTGTTAATTGTTGAGTTTATTTAGTCCTCAAAATGAAAATTTTTGTTAGAAAGAAAAATGGAAACAAATCAAAGAGATGAAATATTTCTTTAACTAGTAAATCCAGATGTTAGAAATTATTACTGAAGTCTTATCAGTTATTATCAAATCAACTATATTATCTAGCATTTCTGTATTTACACTCTTTATGTATATTCGTTCAGATTATTTTAAAGAACATTTACATATCATTGCTGAACTTTTTGAAAAAAGAAAAATAAGAAAACGCAAGGATAAAGACCTTTTATTTCCTCAAAAATATGTTCAAATTACTCGGTCTGATATTCCATTACAAAGTGTATGGTGTACATTAACTTATTTTAATGACTCAAAACAAAGTAAAAAATTAAAAGTTAAAGTAGAAGGAAAAGTACTATTTCTTATTGATGGACTAACAATTGAACCAATTCCTTTAACTAAAACAATGAAATTAAGTATTCAAAGAAAACCAAAAAAAAGAACTTTTTATCATTTTTTTGAAAGTGAAAATGAATGTGTTACACCAGAAGAAGAAGCTTATAATTTATTTAAAAGAGCACATTGTGATACATTACAAAAAAAAATTGAATATTTATCTAAAATATCACTTGAAGAAATGACATTAATAAAACGATATAAACGTCAAAAATTTAAAAGTAGAAATTCTATTCTTCTTGAAAGAATTGACCCAGAATTAGGAATGGGTCATTGTTTATTATTACATTTTAATAATGATTATCTTTTAGAAGAAATATATTATGAATTAAAAAAAGCAATTAAAGGAATTAAATATCAAAATATTATTCGTCCTCATTTTTCTTCTTTATTAAGTAGATTATCAGAAAAAGCTATTTCAATGGATAATTCTCAAATGCATTGGTTTTATGGAATTAATTTCTTAGTTCATAGATTATTCTTTCAATTCTTTGATAGTAATAGAATATCAAGTAAAATAAAAGAGAAATTTAAAGAGAAAATAGGATTTGCAGTATTACCATCAATGGTAAAAACATTAGAAATAACTGATGTTGTAATTGGTCCTAAATTACCAATTATATCTAATCCAAAAATATCTCATTCTGATATAACTGGTAAAACAATTATTGATGTAGATTGTGATTATACCGATGGATTCCAAATGACTTTAGAAGCTACTTTACAAATTCCATTAAAAAATATTACTCATGTAAAAGCAACGTTAATAATTAAATCATTAAAAACAAGAATTAAATTTATGTGTCTAAGATTACCAAGTGAGAGAGTTTGGTTAGGATGTGAGGATGAACCTGAAATGAATATTATTACTGACATTAAAATATCTGGCAAAGAAGAGAAAGAAAAAAAAGAAGAAAAAAGTGATTCAATGGATACTATATCTAAAGTCATTGTTTACTTTGTTAAGAAAGAACTTATGGTAAACACTTTTACTGTTCCAGTAATGCAAAGCTTTCCTATTCCTAAAAAGAAAAAACTTAAAAAAAGTCATCCTGTTCCTTCATTGGAATGTGTTCCTGGTGCAGTTGAACAATATAGAAGAACTAGAAAGATGTTACGTTCTACTTTAAAGAAAGAAGAAAAAAAGCTTGATCATCATGATGATTTAGCATATATTAATTGAATTTGTTCATTTAATATTTGAATAAAAAAAAAATATAATTTTCTTTTTAAAAATTGTATAATAAGTATTTGTGTAAAGCATTATTTAGATACGTTTTAATAAAATAGAAGAATGGAATTTTTCATTAATGACCTCTTTCTAAAATGTCAAGAGCTGTCGATAATTCTCCATTTGCTTGAATTAAAGCACTTAAATTTTCTTCATCATTTAAAAATCCCATTTCCTTTAAACATTGTAATTGGCTACTATATCGTTGTCTTGGTGGAAGAGATGAGCTAGGAGATGGTATTGGAACATAAAGAGAAGGTGTTTGGTAATTTTGTGCTGGTAGTCCAAAAGAGTTATATCCTGATACTGGATTATTGCCAAAAGAAACTAGTCCATTACCATTCATAAGTTTGTCTGATGTTCGTTCTTCAAATAAATTGAATGGTTGGTCAAGTGGTTTTTCCATCTTAAATTGGTCATTTGATACTTCTGGATTAAATTTTACGTTTGGTTTCAATGCATCTTCTAATGGTTCAAATCCGTTTACTAAACGAACTAATTCATTATGACCTCCAGGTAAATTTTCAACTTGATTAATAGCATTGTCTGTATTCATTAATGCTTGATTCATTAATTGAGGGTTTCTTATCATTTTCATCATATTTTTTAATTCTTTAGGGTCATTGATAATGTCTTCCATTTCAGGGTATTTCTCAAAGAATTCCTTAAAAAGACCATTTTGAAACAATAATCTGATTAACGTTGGGTCATTTAAAAAGTCATCACTTGGACTATCACAACTTGTATCATTAAGTACAGAATGAAGTGGTTGTTCTTGTTTTTCAATTCGTTCTTCTTTTTCTTCCTGTTTTTCTTGTTTTTTCTTTTTTTGAATAAATATAATTTTACTTCCTTCTTGATATCCTTTTTTATTATTAGAGTTTTATTTTTTTTAATAAGACTAAATAAATGATTAATATATAACAAACCGATTGTAGAAAATAATGAGTTATCAGTTAATTTATATCCTCGATATATTAATGTAATGTCTGAGTATAATGACTTTAATTTACTTGCAATGAGTTGATGTATTTGTCCAATAGTAATTGTATGTGTCTCTTCGATATCAATACTTTCTTGGATAGAATTACTAACATTGCAAAACAGTACTTTCATTTCAATCTGTTCTTTCTTAGTTTCTTACTCTTATTAGTTCGTTTTTACTATTATTTATAATTTATAATACTATAAATTTACTATTTATTAAACATACTTGAAAAAAGGAAAATTTTATATTTTTGCAATGAATTTTTTATTTCTAATTCTTTGCTTATCATTTTTTAATTAAGAAATATCATTTTTAAGATCAATAGATTAAGAAATGGCAGAACGAAAAGCAATAAATCGATATATCCCACCTGATTTTGATCCAGAAATTCATAAAAGTATTAATGGGTATGGAAAAGTTTCACATTTAAGAAAGAGAATCAAAAGTAATGGAACAATGATTATTCGAATTGAATTGCCTTTCGGGATTTGGTGTGATGGATGTAAAAATCTCATAGGAAAAGGTACTCGTTTTAATGCAACAAAACGACAAGTTGGGATGTATTATTCAAGTAAAGTTTTTGAATTTGAGATAAATTGTAAAGATTGCCATTCAGTTATTACACTTCAAAGTGACCCACAAGTTTGTTTGTATGAATAACTTCATAATTTATATATTAATTTATTCCATAGAATACTGATTATGTTGTTACTCGTGGTGGAAGAAGGCAAATGAATAAACAATCATCTCATTCTTTTCCTTTAACAAATTCAAAAGAAACAAAAGATGAAATGGAACTCCTAGAATCTAATCAGAAAAAAACTGCTCAAAGAGAACAACAACAGTCTTTATTAGATTCATTATATTTACAAGAATTAAGTTCAAAACAAGATTTTGATATTAATTATCAATTAAGAAAATTAAGGAAGGTTTCAATTTTACTAATATATTAGATCAACACATTACTTACCTTACAGAAAAAAGACGAACAACATTGTATCAAAAAAGTTGACTATCCTATTGTTCTTGATTAACATTATATAATATTATAGAGTTGTAAGCATTAGATTATACGTTCAGTAGATAAACGTTCTTATTTATGTCAAATGGTAAGTTTCTTCATTTCAACTTATTATTTTTGGAAAGAAAAGACAAAAAAAATAAAAATTACTAAATTAAATTTAAGTA